ATATATATATATATATATATATAATAATTACAGAGATGATTTATTTTTTTTAGGTTTTAAGTTAGAAAAATGTTAAGTTACTAAGGTATCATTCTTATATAATTAATTTCTCTAAATGTATTTTTTGTCTTCCAAATACTAGGTTGTGCACATAAGCTCCATCTCACTGCATGGTTTCTAAACATTACATAAGATGAGATGACAAAACAGGAAGGCTACTCAGTAGTTCTTAGAGGACTTCTTTTTACTGTAATTTGAGAAGAAAAAAAGAATTTAAAATAGGAATATTCTTGCTAGAGTGTTTTTGTGAACTTTATAAACCTCTGCTTGTGAGCTATAGAGTCAAGAAAAATGGAAAATTAACCAAAATAACTGAATTCACTACTCAAGTTAATACTGCCAATCCTTTGATATTTTTACATTTACACTTAAACATGCTTCTATGCAACAACATATGGTCTTACTCGCTCATGCAGAGGAATTACCCATATAGGACAAGAAAATCCAATTTATTTCAGGCTCATTAGTGCCCTCTTGTGGTGAGTCGGAAGAGCGGAGAAACTTTGCAGTGAAATCTTAACTACAGTGCTTCTTTTCCTTAAACCAAAATACTCCGACAGTGAAACGATTTGTTTTTTGTTTTTCACAAAAATGAAGGCATTGAATTTGGGCCTTAATAAAAGAAACCGACTGGTCTATTGCTTCAAATCAGAATGAAAAAAAGCTGATAATGAGACTCCTTCATCTGTACACAGATAATTGCAATTTCCCCTTGGCCAAACGCAATAAATTCCCCAAGTCAAACGTTTTATTTTTTCATCTGTCTCAATCAAATAGTACTTTTCATTTATTCAAACATCTTTAAAAGAATTCAGAAATGGCTAAATTCCAGTGGATTTAATCAAAATGTGACACAATTTACAGGGCTTCGGGAAAATTAGTAGCATTTCATAATTTTTTTTAATCAAAGTGACCAAATTTATTTTTTATATAAAACGTTTAATTGGCAGTACCAATAATAAAGAAATGATAATAATATGTATTTCAAATAAACAGCTTTAGATGCTACTGTTCACTTCAAATAAGTCCTTACTTCTTTGAAGATCTTTAAAAAATAAGAAAAAAAAAATGTCGACTTTCTTCCAAGGGTAAGCAGTTTCCTTTCAGACTTTTTTAAACTGATCTCTGTTTTCTTTTACTCGCTGCTGTGAAATAGTTCCCCACGGCTCCTTGAGGACCTGCAGCAGTCCATAAATCTGAAGTGCTGAAACTCCCTTTAGGGTCCCCTTCACTGGAAACTCAGCCACACTTTCCTTTTAAACATTTAGTTTCTTCTCATTGCGGATTTTTTTTCTTTATTTCCATATTCTTTTTTTATTGTTAACATTATTAACCCTATTTTGCGAGGACCCAACCGGCTGCTCAAATGATTCACTTCCAAGAGTTTGTCAGCTGAAGGCGCAGCAGTGAGGAGCCTAATACTGATCCTGGTAGCTCTGTAGTAGAAATGAGGCCTAGGCTATAATTGAGCACTTAGGTTAATAACATGTTGTCAGAAAGTCAGTGAAGGCTCGAGTTTTAGCAGTTAGGGATCTGGAGCGCTCCGGGCTTGCTGGTTAACAGGCAGGCTGAAACAAGAGGGGTGTCATGTCAGATTAGATGTGTTATGGGCCCCTCCCTCCCTCCCCTTCCCTCTGTCTTAATGCTCTGAAAGGGTCTGTCTGTTCGTGGCAGCGCCTCAGAGCCCATTAGAAAGTCGCCTCCCCTCGCGTCTCTTAATCTAATTACATAGCCGGCCTTCATCGGCCCATCACGCAGCCCTCTTCTTTTTTTCTCTCTCTCTCTCTTCCATGGATTTTGTCCTCTGTAGATATTCATTAAAAGATCTGATTTATAACTAAGCTCTTCTCAGAACGGGCCGCAGGCTCTAATTTATTTACACTCTGATAACTGGGCGGATTAATAATCCCTAGAAGCAACCAGGCAGACAATGTCTAATATTAGTTGGGCTCCATGGGAAGAAGGGTTAACTCGGACTACATTAGCTTTATGGGCCATTAGTAGAGAAATAAGCCGAATAAAAAAGAATTATAGATTATTATAATGATTGTAATATTACAGACATGGAAAAAATATATAAAAATTGATATTTGAGTATACGACTGATAATAATTAGAATGTTATAATCATATTTCAAATAAAAGCTAAATATTTTATTAAATCGTTATTTAATTACTATCTATACTCTTCCATGATCATTTATAGATACTAACAAGTAAACCTTGTCTTAATGTTATTTTGTGCCAAATGCAAAAATGTTAAGTTGAAGAAGATTCAACTAATTCAGACTAATTTATCAAATAAACCGATGGTTCTTTCTTTCTTTCTTTCTTTCTTTCTTTCTTTCTTTCTTTCTTTCTTTCTTTCTTTCTTTCTTTCTTTCTTTCTTTCTTTCTTTCTTTCT